GGCAAATCCAAAGGAGTCTCACTTAACTGCTGTCAAGAGGATCTTGAGATACCTAAAAGGAACCACTGACCTTTGTCTATGATATCCAAAAGGTAGTAATTTCAAATTAGTAGGATATACTGATGTTGATTATGCAGGTTTTCTTGTGGATAGAAAGAGCACCTCAGGTATGACACACTTTCTTGGCTCATGTCTTATGTCTTGGGCCACCAAAAAGTAAAATTTTGTGGCCTTATCTGCTGCTGAAGCTGAGTATGTTGCTGCTGCCCCATGTTGTGCTCAATTGTTAAGGATCAAATAATAATTAATGAACTTTGAAATTTATGTAGGTTGTATCCCCATCTTTTGTGATAACACTAGTGCAATTAGTATGACCAAGAACCCAGTTCATCATAAGTGAAGTTTATTTTGATGATTGACAAAGGAACTCAAGCATGAACCAGGTCCATACACAGTGGACACATACATGGGCAGATTTGAGCATAAGGGATGCACGTGAAGGAGATAAGCTTAAGTTGTTATATCTGATATCTCCTGATTGAAAAGGTTGCATAAGTGATAAGGAGAAGGACTCCTTACTCGAGAGAACTCTATCCTAGATAAGGGATGAGTTAGAAGTTGAATATAACTAGAACTCTTCCACTATGGAAGAGTATAGCATTAGAGCTCTAGTTATTTCCTATTCTACTAACTCTATAAATTGCAGGATATTCTCATTTTACAGGTATGCACAAACGTTGAAGTTAAACGTGAGTTGAGAGCAAAATAGCAAGGCATTTTGCAACCAATTCTTGTCTGATTCAAGTGTGCAAACCTGAAGCTACTTGAACCAGATAGAAGAACCAGTTCCAAGTGTCTGTCTTTTATTATAGTTCAATTGTAGTAGGGCTTTTCAAATTGTACCTTTCAGCTTTATCTAGAAGCAATTGTATTAGGTACTCAAAGTATTCAAGTTAGAGTTAACTTGAAGTTATCGCAACAGTTAGAGGTTGGTTGCTACAACGGGATTAGAGGTAATCCTCACTAGCTTGAGGGGAAGTGTTGAAGAAGCTGATCATGATAAGGATAAGCTTACACGAGATAAGGATGGTTAGATTGGATTGTAGAGTTTGTACTTAACTCAATGTAGTAGTCATACATATAGTAGAACTCTAAGTCATTTGTAGTAGCTATCACTTAGCCTAGTTTTTCGTTTAGTTTGTCACTTGTATAAATGCAGTCACTTGTAGCTTTGTAATACATGTGAAAACACACAATTACTGAATATAACTCCTTCTCAATCTTGTGATTTTCTACAATATCCTCCTCATGTAATAACTTTTTGATGAAATACAACACCCCCAGTTATTCTAGAAAAATTTATATAAAAAAATAATAATTCAATCCCATGGGAACACACAACTAAAAAACAGTATAATTTCGTCCGCTATTTTCGACCGAAATCGGTCGGAAATTGATAATTTCCGATCGAATTCCGACCGATTTTAATTGGTCAGAAAAATGATGGTCGCAAACGTGTACCGACCGAATTCGGTCGAAAACATCAACGCGTTGACTGACTATCAAACTTTAATTTCTGACCGAAATCGGTCGAAAACAATTAAATATATTTTTTTTTAATTTTCAAATTTCCGACCGAAATCGGTCGAAAACTATTAATTTTTTATTTTTTTTTATTTTCAAATTTCCGACCGAAATCGGTCAGAAACTATTAATATTTTTAATTTTTTTTATTTTCCGACCAAATTCGGTCGGAAATTTTAAAAAATAATAATTGTATTTAATTAAATAATTAGTTGTAAATTGTAATAAATTGTTAATTTATTTTAAAAAATAAATATAAATTCATAATTTCCGACCGAATTCGGTCTGAAATTATGAATTTCTGGGCAAAAAAAAATAATTTTCGACCGAATTCGGTCGGATATCTGGGTAAAACCTGGACATAAAATACCTATTTTTGAGCTACACCACCTACCAACTACAACCTATATCCATCCTATAATGGCAGCATTACATTGCTGCCATTCAACCATAATTAATCAACAACAATGAATATACTAACAACAATAATAACAACAACAATTAAAAACTATTAACTAACACTAACAACCATTATCTAACAACAACTAATAACAACCACATCAACAACTACTAAAATGTTCAATAACAAAATAACAATATAATCATCATTCAAAATTACTCTCAACTAAATATTGACAAGTTCAATACTTTGTTTAGCAATACACACCATTCAATGAGTTTTTTTTTATCTAGCATCATCTCTATCTTCACTCCTAGAACCTTCATCGTCGGCACATGGGGAAGGATCACGAGACCGGGGAATGGGAAAAGCACCACTAGCAAGAAGATTGGCCAGCTGACCTTGAAGGAGATTAAATTGTGCGTCCCTCCTTTCTAGTTGAACTTGAAGGGTACCAAATTGTTCATCTCTCGTTTTTTCTCTAGCCTTTGTCTCTTCAAGCTCTATTGTCAGCTTCGCGATCTTATGTACCATAGACGATATAGTCGACCTATCAATCGCCTCGCCTTGGGCGGAAGTCCCTATACCTTGCAATCCAGCCTTGTAGCGCCGAAATGATTTATCTAGAAGGCTGTATGCTATCCCCTTTTTAGGACCATCGACAACATCCAATCATATCCTCTGCGCTTCTTCATCTAAAATGGGCGGGCGGTCGCCTTGCTCATTCGGTGGCAAGCTCTGAGTGTACTCCTCCAAATTAATCTTGTAGCGAACCTTTATTTAGAAGATAGAAAATTACTAACTATATAATATTATAAACATTTATAGTAGTTATGAAACTTACATGTGTAGTCTCTGCCCGGTCCTCGACCCATCTAGTTGGATCTGTCGGTGCCTTCTTCTTCCGGATGTGAGTCTCCATGAAGAACTCATCATGACTCATCTTCCTCCCAAATTTTTTTTCCTACAAATATAATAAAACATGTTAACAAAATTAACATATATAAATATAGTTCGATAAAAATAGACCGAAATATTTTAAGGAATTACCATTTGTGTCCTCGTATCCCCCATGCTCCTTGAACCCAGACAGTGCAAGGAGCCACCCTTCTCAGATGCTCGGGCCTTCTTTCCCAGTTCACTCTGCTTCTCGAATTTCTCGGTGGCCCAATACCTTTGCAGATCCACCCATACATCCGGTAGAACCCATGAAGGCTTCTTTTTAACCTTTCGAGTGGAGCTAAAGGAATCAGAGAGTCTCTTACGGCATTTGTACTCCCAATTTTTACAAATTTCATGGTTATACCGGTCCTCCCAGGCACACTTAGTCTGCAAATAAAGTATGTAATGTTAGATGAAAATATTGTTAATATAATGCTTAAATAGATAAGAATTGTATTAAAACCTTAAATTGGTTGAACATATGTTGCACAAGATCCTCTGGAAAGTCACTCCAAGTCGGATAGGGTGCATTATACAACCCGCCAAGAATATCAGTGATTATCTTTGTAACCTGATGATTAGGAATGAACCTGCATCATAGAAATTACATTAAATAAACAAGAGTAGCTATTATAATTCAGCAAAAATAAAGAAGTAATAAATAAATCTTACCCATTACCCTCAGGCCTGATGATGATCCTATGATAACGATCATAACGCACATCATCTGGATCATCATCCTCCGATGAATCTGAAGTGTGCGCAGAAGGGGGGCATCTGGCTCAGTGCTACTATCCCGAAGACGAAGTCTAGAAATGCTAGGAGACGAACTCCATGGAGAGGGAGACGGGGTCCTTGATGAAGATGGTTGCGCTCCACACCCCTGCATCGATCTAGACCCTTGTTGCGATCCAGACCACTGTTGCGATCCGGCCGACTGAAATCTAGATGGATGCGATCCGACTGGAGATGAAGCAAATGGAGCAGATGACGGGCGTACCATATGGCTCTGTGACTGGTGACTCGATGCACCTATATTAGTACTGGTAGGATCATGAGGAGGAAGCGGGGTATAGCCCTGTGGCGGAGAATGGTGATAATACTGATGTGCGGGCGAATGGTGGGTAGTATAATGAGTAGATGGATGTGGTGGAATAGATTTGTGCCTAGAAGATTGCTTCTGGCCATCAGCAGCAGAGGGATGCAAGTGTGGAGTGGAAGGAAGCGTGGGTGTAGCACCATCATCATGATCAATAGGCCTTTTAACCTACCTCGACCCCTACCGGCTATCTGCATAAATTAAAGAACATGTTAGAATTAAGAATATAAATCTATATAAGTTGAGAGCACTTGAAAAAACTAACATGCTAGTCGTCTTCGTCGAAGTATCCTTCCTCGTCTGAAAATCCTTCCTCTTCACTTATTTCATCCTCATTTTCTATGATTGTTATTTCCTCCATATCAACTTCTTCTAATATGCGTTGAGGGTGCTCCAAGTAATTTTCTAACTGATCATCCACCATTTGGTTAACACTTGAGGTATCGTTTTGGTAAGCAACATCTAGCACATTCTCAACTTCCACCCTACCAACAGGCTTTGTTTTTATTACAACCAACCAATCAGCCGTATCCCTCCGCAATGGATATGGAGCATAGTACACTTGCCTAACTCTTTCTGTAATTATAAAAGGATCATAGTAATCATACTCCCTCTTTTTATTAACCTTAATTATGTTGTACTGCGGGTGTACATTTGTACCTCTTTTAGGTGTTGGGTCAAACCATTTGCATCGGAAAAGTATGATCTTCTTATTTGGCCAGCCTGAATATGACAATTCTAGAATCTCTTTGATCACACCATAATAATCATTTTCCCCATCCTGGTTTTCTTCATCACCTTTGACACACACCCCACTGTTATTGATTTTTTTATACTTGGAGCATTCCTCAGTGTGAAATTTGTAATCATTCACACAATACTTAGACATAGTCGTAACCGTAGGTGCAGGTCCCCAGGATATGTCTTTCAAAAATTGATTAACATCGTTGTTTGAATTATTGACCTACATGTAGGGGTAAATAAATCACAAGTGAGCAAGTATATTTACAAGTATGTATATTCACATGTGAGAAAGTATGTAAGATGCACTTACACACTCTTTAAACCATGCCTCAAATGTAGAATATACAGCACCATGACCAAATTGACTCACGAAGTCACTGAGCGACGCATTGAAAATTATTTGTTAGTTGTATCAACCAAATTAAATAGTAGCCCATGTAAATTAATCTTACGTCAACACTTACTTAAGAAAGGGTTGAACTTCCGGACAATTTAGCAACACATGATTTGAAGCTGATTTGTACTCCATACTACTTAGGCCCCTTTTTGTTCGATCTTTAGAACCCCGGCCTGGTTGATTGAATACGGACATTGGTGGATATAATGGATCAATCTCAATCACCACATTGTGCCGATTGGGCCTATTTCTAGCACATGGCACATGACTGTCAAAGTAGTAAGAACAAAAATGGGCAGTTTCCTTTGCAAGATAGGCTTCGCATATGGATCCTTCAATCCTATTCCTCTGTTTAACAAATCGTTTACACTTGCCGATAGTCCTGCACATTGTTATATTAGACGATAACTTTAAAAAAAATTACAATAATAAATCAAGGTTTGATCATTACCTCTCGAATGGATACATCCACCTGCATTGAACCGGGCCTCCAAGTCGCGCCTCATGTACAAGGTGAATTGGAAGGTGTTCCATCACATCAAAGAAGCCACATGGAAAAATCCTTTCCAGCTTATTACTGATTACAGGAATATTCCAATTCATTTGAAATAGGGTTTCTTCCCTTAATGTGGTAGAACATAAGTCTTTGAAGAACAAACTTATCTCTGTGATGGGTTTCCATATATTTTCAGGCAATCCACAAAATGCAATAGGGATTAAGGTTTCCATGAATATATGACATTCATGACTTTTCATATGAGTCAGCTTTCCCTCAACCATATCGACACATTTTCCCAGGTTCGATGCATAGCTCTCGGGCATCTTTAGGTTTGTAACCCACTCACAAATCTGTCGTCTTTGTTCCAAAGTGAATGTGTAGCTGGCCTTGGGATTGAACACCTTACCATTGTTCCTAGACTGCAAATGTAATTCAGGTTGCCTGCAATATTCTTGTAAGTCCAGTCTAGCCTTAAGGTTATCTTTTGTCTTTTTCTTATCATCCATCACTGTGTTGAACAAATTGTCAAAATAGTTCTTCTCAATATGCATGACATCAAGATTGTGCCGAAGAAGATTATCCTTCTAATATGGCAACTCCCAAAATATGCTTTGTTTTGTCCAGTTATGAGTAACACCATATCCAGGAAATCTAGAAGGTGGGGCCTCGGTAACTTTAGTGGAGTTCTGAACCCTCTCCCAAATTTTTTCACCGGAATAAATTGGAGGTGACAAATCATGTTCAACTGTATTCTTTTTGAATGCGTTTTTCATCCTTCTAAACTCATGATCAACTGGCAAGAACTGACGATGACAATCAAACCATGACTGCTTTCGGCCATGTCTTAAAGTGAACGCTTTACCATTTTCCATGCAGTAAGGACATGCTAACTTTCCGGCAGTCATCCAACCAGACAACATTCCATACGCAAGAAAATCATTAATGGTCCACATTAAATTAGCACGCAAGTTGAAATTTTGCTTAGTTGATATATCATATGTCTCAACTCCATCATACCACAACTGTTTAAGCTCATCAATTAGAGGTTGCAAATATACATCAATCAAACTCTTTGGATTGCGGGGACCGGGAATAACACAATTTAAAAATATATATGGACTAGTCATACACATTTCAGGCGGAAGATTATATGGCGTAATAAAGACCGGCCAGCATCAATATGGTGTTGCAGAAACAGAAAATGGCATGAAACCATCAGCACACAAACCCAACCGAACATTCCTCGGTTCACTAGCATAATCCGGATACGTCATATCAAAATGCTTCCAAGCATCCCCATCTGAAGGATGACACATAACACCGGGTGGCCTTCTATTTTCATCGTGCCATATCATATGAGGAGCGGAACTCATCGATGTGTACAACATCTTTAATCTAGGAATAAGAGGTAAGTAATGCATCGACTTCACAACAGCCTTCTTCCCGCTGGAAAGCCGCTTAAAACGAGGTTTTTCACAAAATTTACAACTTTCTAAATCTGCATCACCCTTATAATACAACATGCAACCATCTTCACAACAATCTATTCTCATAAATGAGAGTCCTAACTTAGAAACCAATCTTTTAGCCTTATAGAAATCTTCAGGTATGTTGAAAGTTAGGTCAACTAGTTCACTCATAAGGCCAATGAAAGAATCCATTCCCGCTTGAAAAATATTGGTATCTGATTTAATACTTAATAATCTAACCGCAACAGACAACTGAGAGTGCATACTCCCTTCCCTTAGTGGACGACTAGCGGCCTCTAACTGTTCATAAAAATATTTTGCCTCTTCGTTAGGAGGTTGTTCAACACTTTCATGGGTTTCAAAATCGAAGTGCATCCCAAAAGCATTCGCAACCATTTCATGGTATCTAGGATGTTGAATGTTATTCCCCACCGACCTACTGCTTTCACCAACAACTACGTTATGAAATATACCATCACTACCATCAATCTCACCATGACTAGTCCACACAAAATAATTATCCATAAACCCTTTTTTATAAAGATGAGACTTAACATCCTCCGATCCAAAAAAATACAAACACTTGCACTTCACACAAGGACACCTAATCAACCTTCCAATCCGAAACGGATCAAGTGACATTGCATGCGTAATAAATTCCTTAACCCCTTCTATAAATTCCTCCCTAAAAAACCGACGATTAGGATAATTCCTATTGTACATCCAACTACGAGATTCCATCTACATAAAGAACGAATAAATTATATTAATCATAGTTCAAATTAATTTATAGAATTAAGTTACATAATAAACTTTAGTTATAATATAATTAATTTAAATAATTTCAGTGCTTATTAATTTGAAAGTCCATATATATCCCTAAATAAATTTTTTATTAAGTTGCATAATAAATTATAATTTGTTAGCACACTCAATTAATCAGGACTTTGTGCAATATTAAGCCATATGTTTCGACATGATATATATGTAAATAATTTTCCTTTCTCAATAACCACATTTAACTAACCATTCTACTCTTTTGTATTCCATATAATACATGTAAGCATTCACTACATATTTTGAAACATATGAAAGCATGTTTAATCAAACTTAATCAAATATATGAAAGCATGTTTCCTTGGACAAGGAGAAGCAATTTTGCACAGTTTGTTTTGTTTAGGCAGTAAATAAAAACAAGCTTAAAGCAGTTCCAGACTTCCAACAAGTGTTTAGTTACTAAATTCTCCAACTGAATGATTTTATTCACATCTTAGAAGCTAACAAGTGTCATGTTTCTTGTTTATTTTACTTAGATAGTACTCTTGCGCAGCTTAATAATGATAAGAAATCTGCATTTATCAAGGCATGGGAAGAGAGTGAAAATAGCTGAGTGGATAACAAGTAGGATTTCTAACTTCCTATATATGTTGTCAACTGTTAGTTATCATACAAAAAACTAATACTCATCAAATTTTAATAGAAATTACTAAAACATATACTAGTCATTATTTTATTATCAAATACACCGAGAGATTATCAGTTTTCCTCATCAAAAATAGAACTTTCTGAATATATGAGCTGCCAAACAATCTATTTTCCACACAAATCAACCCAAACAAAATTACAAAAACACAAATACCCATCAAATATTTCAAAAATACACTATCATGTTCAAACATCTATATCATGTTCTTTATGCTCAAACACCTTGACAATTAATTGATATTATATTAGCTGGGATAGCAAACAATCTATTCTACTTACTTTAGGAGTAGAATAGCCAAGTTTTGGGTTGAATCCTAACTGTGACTCAATATCAGCGTGGCGGCGGTGGGCGGAGGGAGTCAAATCTGGCGAGGGTGGTCTGAAGAACCTTTCAAAAATAGCCATAATAAGACACATAGAGATGAGAATAGCAGTGGCAACAAAACCAAAAGAAACAACATTCACAGCACTCACCCAAAAACGACCTCAAACCACCCCCCAAAAGAAAACTTACCGGAGATGGAGAGGAGTCAGAGTGCCGACGATGGCCGCTTGGATTGCCGACGACAATGGCCCCTTGGGTTGAGTGCCGACGACGCCGGTGAAGATGGGATTTGCTGAGAAAGAGAAAGAGAAAGGTCAAAGAAAAAGAGAAAGGCGTGAGTGAGGCAGAGAAAGAGTAAAAAAAAGTTAGGGCTTTTGCTGAGGCGTGTTTATTGATAGAAAAAACAAAATCTAGATAATGACCCATAATTTTGGTGAGAAAGACGTGTTTATTTAGAATCTACCATGTAA